AGGACTGAGCATGATCTAGTGGTTACTTGGTTACATAAAAGATGGAAGTGTGAATTAACTATAGGAAGTATTTTTCTTGTGAAAAAAGTCAATATAAAAGGACTGAGCATGGTCTAGTGGTTACTTGGTTACATAAAAGTGGAAATGTGAATTAATGATAGTAAGTACTTTTCTGGTGAAAAAGGTTCATATAAAAGGACTGAGCATGGTCTAGTGGTTACTTGGTTACATAAAAAATGGAAATGTGAATTAATGATAGTAAGTACTTTTCTGGTGAAAAAGGTTCATATAAAAGGACTGAGCATGGTCTAGTGGTTACTTGGTTACATAAAAAATGGAAATGTGAATTAATGATAGAAGTACTTTTCTGGTGAAAAAGGTTCATATAAAAGGACTGAGCATGATCTAGTGGTTACTTGGTTACATAAAAGATGGAAGTGTGAATTAACTATAGGAAGTACTTTTCTTGTGAAAAAGGTCAATATAAAAGGACTGAGCATGGTCTAGTGGTTACTTGGTTACATAAAAAATGGAAATGTGAATTAATGATAGTAAGTACTTTTCTTGTGAAAAAGGTCCATATAAAAGGACTGAGCATGATCTAGTGGTTACTTGGTTACATAGAAGATGGAAATGTTAATTAATGATGAGAAGTACTTTCACGTTCAGCTGCATAGATGGTAGTTGCTGCAGACCTGTTGCTTTTCTTCTGATTGGCTGTTCTAGATCAGGAATTTTGGGGTCTGTGACTTAGAAGTACAGCCCATGTATTAATAATTGTTCCATTCAGTGGAGGAGATCGTATAAATAAAAAAGTATTCATAAATTCAAAGTAAATAGTTGGAAGTTTTAACCATCTTTTATTGATGCCCAAGGAGTATTATCAATATGTGGTTTATGGGTAAAGAGATTAATATCTCATTATAAAACTATTGCAGTTGTTTACCACACAGGTTATTTCACTGAAAGGCCAACCACAGGAAACTTGCATTAAAATGTGATTTGACATTTTACATGAACAGTGAGTGAAGTACGTTTTGTTGGGAGTATATAATAGTCTATTAATGCTATTTTATGCATTACTCTTGTTTTTTTCTCACTGTTGGCTATTGAGTGACAGCTAAGGTGTATATAACTCAACCAGTTTTTAGAATAATCATTTGATTTCTATGATGCAAACTAAATGCCCTTTGATAAATAGGCTATCTGTTTTCTTTTACTTTCACAGAGTTGTGCACTTTTTTTTTTTGCCTTCTCCTGTTTAAGTGTGAGCCAGTTTGTCTTGGTATATTTGTTTTTATGTCTGCATAACAAAAACTGGTATGTAGAAAGGTTATACTGACACCGATATGGTATGATTAGATTTTTGTTTCAACTGACAGTTTTATTGACATATATATGGTTATATAATACCATGTGCATTTATGCAGCTGTGGTGTACATATCATGGGTTAATTGCATAAAAAATTTTATATGGATTTTTCCTTTGTATCTTATGTCCAGTAATACTTAAAGCATGTGACATTTTTAGCTGGCTGTTTCTGAAGTAGGGTATGCATGAAAGCAAAAATTCATATTTAATCTTAATGAAAATCAGTTCTAGATTTTTCTGTCAAACATTCACACATAATAAGAAAACTACTGTTGTTGCCTGTCATTAACAAGCATATCGTGTTTAACCCTTACACTTCTGAGTGTATGTGTCATTAGGGAATTGTTTTAGCTGTTAACATAAAGAGAGTTTTAAGTTCTCGGGGACCTCCCAAGTAAAGAAATTATTTCAACCGAGCGTATCTGCTGTTGATAAACAAGAGGACTTATTCATAATGTATACCTCTGATAGAAACAAATATTTAATGGATTTGAATAGTAGAATGAAACCTCAGTTATCTGATCTCTAATTTTATTTGTTGGAATGGCTGGGAGATATAAACACAGTATTTATGCACTGTATTCTGATCAGCACTGCATATTTGGCAAAAAAAAAGAAAACATATGAACAGCTTCTGTATAGTGCTGTTCATTTTCAAAATTTTCCTCAGATGCCCAAGTATATAAAAATGCAGACCTTAGCCCTAAAGCAAACAAAATAATGTAGGTGCAAAGCAGTCCAACATGATCATTTTTGTTAAAACTTGTGTAGAGACAGTAAAACTCAAATTTTGCTGTCTTACATTTACAAAAAGTAATTATTTACTGCATTATTTTGTACTCAAAAGTTACTCAAGTCAGTCTTATTGAGTCAGTTGATGAATAATTAAATTTTTGTTGTGCAAAAACTTATCTATTGTTGTTTTAAGATAGAATGTACAAGTCTATTCATAAAAAGAGAAAAACAAACATACAAAAGAAAGCACTTGAAGCTAGAACCTGTAAAAGAAATAAACACTCCTCTTCAGGCTCTTTACCAAGTCCAGGGATATTAAACTCAAGCAAGACAGGCTCTTCTGGAGTCCAAGCCAATGTTCCCACGTGTTCTATAGGTGGTGGCATCTCACCATCTTTCTTTAACCAGGTTGGTTCTCACACTGCTCATGAGTTGTTGTTGGAGTCAAACCTCTATTATCCAAAATCGTGCTTTTGGTTAATAGTATCTTCTATTTTGGCTTACTTTTGTGCTTGATTATTTTTTTCTGTTTGGCCACATAATCATAGTAATTCACCATTTGCAATAGCAAACTTCAAAACTATATGAAATTTAAAGTTATAAAAAGAAATCCATTCATGTAACTCTCCTCTCAGTTGGATAATTCAGGTTTTCACTGAATCATAAGTTATTCTATAAAAAAATCTCTTGTAGCTTTTTGTGAATAGAGTAACTTTATGACACTGGAGACTTAGATTTATGTTTTGCAAAAATGGAAAGGTTCCAAATCGTGTACTTGTATATATAGAGATCTAAGCATTTTATTTTGTATTTGAAGTGAGACTTAAAAAATGGATTGGGGTATTGAAGTTTGGAAGCTATGGTTGAACTGTGAAGTATAAAATTAGTCTTTTTTGTTTTTATGTGATAAGATTTTATTAAGAAATCTTCCATCATACTGAAAGAAAGTCAATTTATACACAAACAACAAATATGCCAAGTCCAGACATGATTTCCGAAGACAACTTATTGTTTCAAGGTCATTGGTATAATTTTTGCATATGTCTTGAGATGCTCTCATGTCAGTCACTTGCTGTTATGAGTACACTTAGCATTACTCTTACTCAGAGATGCTAGATGCTTAAAATATTCGAGGCTCGGGCCCATAGTTGTGGGAATTTTCGGTGTTTCAGTATGATATCGATCATCGTTCTCTCTTCAGATTTATAAAGACACCAACTTGTGATTTGGGACACGGGTCCCATATGCCAGTACATAGTGACGTCCCTGCTCTTGTTGCTGCCAAAAAAAAAAAACTAGGGAAGAACTAATAATTTTTAAATATGTCAAACTACATCCGTCATTCATCCTTACAAAATAACTAAGCTTGAGGAACTAGAAGTTGCCCTATGGTTTCTGAGAAACAGTTTGTTAATTCTTCAGTTTTAGCAATTTTCTCAAGATGCTTCATTTTGTTTTTAAGTGGATGTCTTTCTCAGGCTGGATAAATATAGATACTTGTATCTGTTGCACATCTTCATTCCTTTTTTAGTTCTTCTTTCAAGCTGATAGTAGTACAAACAAAAACTCTTCCAGTAACACGTGATGTATTTTTCGCATGAATTTGGTTCATGATGATTTTATATTGGTGAACTGTATTCAGTACATTATTTTCTTATTTTTGTGGATTGGAAGTTTTGATTTAATTAGAGTTTACTTTTTCTTTAACAAGATTTCAGAATGAAAAGTAAAGAGTATTTTGTAACAATAAATATTGACATAAAGAACTGTACATTAGTGATAGTAGCATTGTTTCATTAATGTTTTTTTGTTGTTGTTTAGTTTTTCAGCTGTGTGTCATTTGTTTTCAGAATTATTTAGTTTTTAGATTGCCTTGACAAAACAAAAATGCTTAAGCATGTATTTGCAGTGAATTTTTGTATATCTGTTTTTGCATGAGTAACATGTGACTTAATATTCCTTGTTTTGAATACCAGCATGTACTGTTCAGATTTATTAATTTTTTCATGGTCAATAAATTGAGCATTATTTTCTATTTCTTTATGAAATTGGTTGTGATTGCGGGTTACTACACAGCGTTCCTTTATTGTGTTTTTTTTACCTTAACAGTATTATTAATATGTGTGGACAATTAGAGCTTGGTTACAGAGAGCTTGAATTCCCCTCAGTGGTAAAAGAATATATCTAAACTGTACCCAATAAAGTAACTTTTTTGTTCAATTATTTTTGTTTAAAACAAATTTTATTTGTCACAAATGTTCTCAAACTAAAACAAACCAGAACCTAAACTGCACATAATATGATCATGTGTTATAATTAAAACTGTTTAAGATAATTAACTGTATTATTTTATGGGAAATTTTAAGAGTGATCATTTTAAATTATGTATATTAAAACTTACCATGAATTGCAATAAGGAGATTACTGAAAAATATAGCCTTTCAGTCAAAGAAGAAATGCAAATGCTATTGTCTATAATTTGGTTTAAGGAGATTGAATTAGAACATTGTTGTTGTTTTTTAATAAAAAAATAATCATTAATGTACATCATATTTCTCAAGTTTAACCAGTTATCCTATGGATGTGTGATAAAAGACTGTAAACTCATGTTAGAAAATATTGTACAAATTTTTATAATGGTAAAAATAGCAGAAAGTAGTTATAGATAAAGATTTTTTTAAGTTTTCTTTGAGTCAATTGCAAGCCACACTAGCTCAAAACCCTACAAATTACTATTACATATACAACATAAAGATGTAGGTGGTTAGAGGGATTTTGTAAAATTTATTTTTAATTAATAACTGAGAGGTTTTTTAATAGTTTTATATTAATAACCTCTTGAAATTTATCTTTAAAAGAATTGTCAATTTAATCTGCGGATTGTTTTTTCTAGACTCAGCAACATGTGGTTTTAGGGAATACTTTCCATTTCCCAGTTAACAATAGTTTGATGATTGGTGACTATGTTACTCCTGGAAACATTATCTTGCCAGAAAATAAAAGGAAAACCACAGCTTATAAACACTGATATTGGCCTGTATGTGAAAATTGGCTTTTGAACTTTCAAGAGCCTCTTTCAACCAAGGACACTTTGCTGATTGTGCCACATGACACTGTTGAAGAATGAATTTGTGAAAAAAAATAACCTGTTTTTCAAACATCATATGAAGCTAAGAAAATATCCCCAATTGAAGGATGTTTAACATAGGTAAAACAATTTTCAGTTAGAGTAGAAAATACATATAATCTAAACTTGGTTGTGTGTGGGCTTAAAAATAGTTCCTTTTTTTTAATGTAATTTCAAAACTCACTGATCTGAAACTTTTGGTCTTAATTGTGAATATTTGTTTAGGATGTACTAGTGTTGCTGTTCCAAAATGGGGTTAATTGCAAAACGTATTGGAAATTAATAATTTTTGAAGAAAAAAACATTGATGTTCATTAATGGTTCTTGAAGAACTTTGAAAACCATAACTATAATTCATCTTGAATTTTTTTCTTCAAATGTTTATTTGAATCTCGCAAAAATAATAAACTGAAAAGAGCAAGATTTTATTTTGCTGTAAAATAATTAACTCATTGCTTACCACAGGAGCATAATTGGTAAACCCAGTATTTCTATACCTGGGGACCATATAGGCATACTTTGGTAAGAACTTTTCTTTTTGAATCTACTCCAATATTTGGCTTGTAAGGCCTTTCTTCAGTAAAATGTACAATCAGAATTTTTTATATTTTGTCAAATTTCCCAGTTTTCCCTGGTTCTTGTGGATGCATTATGCTTGGCTGCAAAAGGGGGTTATATAAGGACAGTATTGATGAAAGTTTGTTGTGATACAAATCTAAAATGCTGATATTTTAAAGTATCTTTCTCAGCATTATCATTTCTATTTAAATTTTGGGAGTTTTATATGTATATGACTCAAATGTAACATCTACAGTGCATCCCTTGCAATAAATGCTATTAAAGACAGCACTAGTCTTTCTATAAGAAAAACAGCACTGATAAAGGACAGAATCATTGTTTATGTACGTTTAAATTTAGGTTCTAAGTATTTTTAAATAGGATTCATTTGGAACATGAAATTAGAATTTGATGCATATTCAGTAAAATATTTTGTGTTGTATAAGTATAGTTAGTATTGGTGAGTTTTTTTTTTTATCCCGAAACCGTGCACAGTTTTAATTTATATGTATTTCTTTTCTAGAGTGAAAAAAAATCATTCTCATTCTGTAAATATGCATTTTTTTAAATTTACTTCAACTACATAAAAACATAGTTACCAAGTTATTTATTTGCATATTTTTTACTGGTAAATATAATTTTTTTTATGAAAATTTCACTCTGGAATTCGCATAGTATTCCTACAAATTTGTAGCATATTACCACATTTTTTTTTAAAAACCACTGAAATCTCTGACTTAGTACTGTAAAATTTTTCAGGAAACTTTAGTATGCATCACTGGATGGCTTATAGTTTTATGTTAGGCTTTATGATTTACACTTGTACACTTATTCCAATACAGGTATGCTTATTATGTGTATTATTTGTTTGGTGACGGTTGAGTTGTTAATGGTAAAAAATGACTATAGAGCCACTAAAATGTAGTAGACTTTATGGTATTATTCCAGGTATTGAATAGCACTTATTTTCAAATTTGTAACAGACCCTGCTTGAATAATTTAAGCAAAAGAAGTTTTGTATAAAATTTTGTGTTTAATGTGATTGATGTGTTGAGAAGCTGCTAGTGTAATACTTTCAACCAAAAGTAGAATGAACTTGTGGGGTGAAATTAGTATATAAATATATAAACAGTTTAAAGTAATGATAAATATAAGAAATTATTTTGAAGCCATCCACTCTTTTGTACTTAAACTCTTGCAGGTTACTTGAAATGTGCCAAGAAAATAATACACGTTAAATACATAATGCTTCTCAGTCATCTTTACCCTGTCATTTTACAAGTTTGTGAAAATTAGTTATACGAGTTGGTAAAAATATATTTGTAAATTTCCAAATACGAAGAGAAGATGCAAAGACAGAAATGTGCTGGAAGTGAAGAAAGGATCCAGTAAAACATTTAATCGCAACTATACTACATCAAAATTTACACATCTTCACACAGATTTTAATTTCTGAAATATATGTTACACTCTTTTTTTTGTTAAGACTAATAGAATAATCTTGTAAATGGTTTAAAGTTGTTTCATTACAAAATTTGTTAACAGTAACATTTCAATGCTGTTTCAGAAATGAATAGCTTTTGTTTGGTATAATTCAGTATTTTGGGCTGCCATTTTGTTCATTAACTAATAGTGACTGACCATGTGTAAAAAATTTTGGTCCTATCATTATAATTAATTGATAGTTATAATCTGAGTGTAAAAATTTTGAATTTGAAATTTACCTGATTATTCAAATGTTCCATATTTGTAACTTTGTTAGATAGGAAATGTAAAAAACTAAACAAATCAGTTATGTTACAGCTGCAGTCATACAGTATTTTCACATTGTGATTCACCATGAAATTTCTTAAGCTGGTGATAAGAATTTCAAGAGTAAAAGGAAATGGAACTTTCATGTGACATCCCAGATTGTTTTACAAGTTGCCTCTGTTTAATCTGATCATCTTCTTGTGATTTTAAAGCAATTTTGATGTGGTCTTTTTTTATATGTGTGACTCATTGTTATGTTAACAAGGAGAGTGTGGAAACATGTTTTTAAATATGGGAAGTTGATACTTTACTTCTTTTTGTCAACTAAAGAATGATAAGTGATCAATATTAACTATTGTTATTGTTCTCTCCATTGACTTGCTGATGTGAAATGTGAGTTGAAACTTGTCCTTTAAAGGTTTATAGCTTTTCCTAGCTATATGAACATTTGTAAATATTGGAATGTTTCAATTATGATTTTGAAAGTTGGACTAGGTGTTTACAAGAAATAGATAGTAGTATGTATACATACATAATAGGGTATTTTTACACAATCATTTGTGTGAGGGTGTAGCTTTAAAATCCCTTATCATAGTTTTTATTCTTTGGTTGTGTGTATGTGATTTTCAATTCTGAGTAATTAAATAGATTGGTGGATTCTTTAAGATTTTTGGTGTGGTTTTCTTTAGGTGTGCAGTTTTTCTGAATGTTAGTTATCACTGCAATCATTGCATAATGAATTTCGTACATACTTGCCCGGTAAGCCTGGGGGCTTATAATGCTAAAAAATCAAATTTCGAAACCTACGGTGTGCAAAGCACAGATAGCTCACTATGTAACTTTGTGGTTAATAAAAAACAAATTATGGTAACCAATATTTTATTCCATGCAGACAAATATATAAAAATCAATAGTTAAATCTCAGTAATTTAATATCTTAATCTCTTAGAAAGTACAACATATTTATATATTTATCCATTGAATAAAAATAATCTTTACCATGCTTATCAATAAAATATGTTAATTATGAGAAATATTCATGCAAAGTTCATAAATATATGTATACATAAACACACACAACGCAATATAATACTAATTTCTATCAATCCAAATTATTTTAGTACCGTTTAAGATATATGCTCGTCAGTTTACAAACACAATTTTGATGTTTTTGTGGTATGGTGGTTTCAGACAAACTTGCTTTTTTTTTTTTTATCTGAAGTCAGTTATTTATGGACGGACGTAGCCTACTGTTTAGATTAATAGTTGTGAACTGGGAGATCCAAGTTCCGATTCGCGATATGCCATTGAACTCACTCCACACTTTTAGTTCTAGGGGCGTTATAACAGATAATCAAACAGTTAAATATCGTCGCATAAACACCGGGTGCTGCCGACTAGTTACCTTCCCTGTGGTCAGTAATTCTAGATTAGGAATTTGTGCAAAGCTACTCGAGGACTATCTGCCCTTCTTCTCTGTAACGACCTTAAACCCAACTAATCTGGGGTCGGCCGTCAATTTTGTAAGCCAAGAATTTTTACACCTGAGGGGCCGGCCCAGACGGCAACCATATTGAACGAGTATATTTGGCGACTGGGATTCGAACTCGCAACTCTCAGGTCGCGAGTCAAGCGGAGGGCTACCTGCGCTAGCCGTCCCTAATTCTGGAGGGAGGAAACCTAGTCCACATGGTTTCTAGCGTGATGGTTTGGGGAGCTGTTTGGGTTGGTGGGAGATCGAGCCTAGTGGAGTGCGTTGGCAACATAATTTTGCGAATACGTCGAAATACTGGAGGAA